TGTTACCATACTTAATGGGGCTTTCATTCACAGACTCGTATTTTGGCTGTAGTGGCACTTGTTCTTTTCTGCCATGCAATGCCTCGTATATTGAACAAGTGCAGCAGTACAAACCTGTCAGACACTGCAACTTCTTGGGATCTTAATACTTAGGAATTCTTCGCTTGCCTAATTCTTGGGCACGACCTACTTCCACATTGAACAAATGTGACACCACCTATGACTGCTACACCTCTCTTGCCATACGGTTTATAAGCTGCTTCTCCGCTCATATGCCGTATTCTACTCAAGATTGATGGACTGAACACATGACTCAAGGTTGAGGGACTGATTACCTCATTCTCCTCTTGTTCTTCAAGTTTCTCCTACGTATGGACTGATGAAGCCACTGTGTGGCGAAACGTTTCCTCAATAAAGATACCCAAGAGTTGCACATGTGTCTAATTTATCAAGTGCAGCAGCCATTATGAAAAGATTCTCTCACTGGTTTCAGCATCTTGGTCTTAGTCAGATCAGTTCACATGCTTCACCTCTTGACTTCTAGCAGGGCCTATTTCTCCCTGGTCTCGCACAAATTCGCCACCTCCAGATTTAACATATTGCATCTTTCAATCATGATGATGATAGTAGGTAGGTAGGTAGGTAGTAGGTTGGTAGACAGCAACCACCCAGGGAAGTACTACCGTCCTGCCAGATGACTGTGAAACAAAAACCTGTAACTGTTTTGCATGATGGTAGGATTGCTGGTTTCTTTTTCTGTCTCATAAACACGCTAGATAACAGGGATATCTTGCTACTCCTACTTACACTTTGGTCACACTTCACAGACACGCACATGCATATATATATATACATACATCTAGGTTTTTCTCCTTTTTCTAAATAGCTCTTGTTCTTTTTTATTTCTTCTATTGTCCATGAGGAAGTGGAAAAGAATCTTTCCTCCGTAAGCCATGCGTGTCGTATGAGGCGACTAAAATGCCGGGAGCAATGGGCTAGTAACCCCTTCTCCTGTATACATTTACTAAAAAAGAGAAGAAGAAAAACTTTATAAAACTGGGATGCTTAAATGTGCGTGGATGTAGTGCGGATGACAAGAAACAGATGATTGCTGATGTTATGAATGAAAAGAAGTTGGATGTCCTGGCTCTAAGCGAAACAAAGCTGAAGGGGGTAGGAGAGTTTCAGTGGGGGGAAATAAATGGGATTAAATCTGGAGTATCTGAGAGAGTTAGAGCAAGGAAGGGGTAGCAGTAATGTTAAATGATCAGTTATGGAAGGAGAAAGAGAATATGAATGTGTAAATTCAAGAATTATGTGGATTAAAGTAAAGGTTGGATGCGAGAAGTGGGTCATAATAAGCGTGTATGCACCTGGAGAAGAGAGGAATGCAGAGGAGAGAGAGAGATTTTGGGAGATGTTAAGTGAATGTATAGGAGCCTTTGAACCAAGTGAGAGAGTAATTGTGGTAGGGGACCTGAATGCTAAAGTAGGAGAAACTTTTAGAGAGGGTGTGGTAGGTAAGTTTGGGGTGCCAGGTGTAAATGATAATGGGAGCCCTTTGATTGAACTTTGTATAGAAAGGGGTTTAGTTATAGGTAATACATATTTTAAGAAAAAGAGGATAAATAAGTATACAAGATATGATGTAGGGCGAAATGACAGTAGTTTGTTGGATTATGTATTGGTAGATAAAAGACTGTTGAGAAGACTTCAGGATGTACATGTTTATAGAGGGGCCACAGATATATCAGATCACTTTCTAGTTGTAGCTACACTGAGAGTAAAAGGTAGATGGGATACAAGGAGAATAGAAGCATCAGGGAAGAGAGAGGTGAAGGTTTATAAACTAAAAGAGGAGGCAGTTAGGGTAAGATATAAACAGCTATTGGAGGATAGATGGGCTAATGAGAGCATAGGCAATGGGGTTGAAGAGGTATGGGGTAGGATTAAAAATGTAGTGTTAGAGTGTTCAGCAGAAGTTTGTGGTTACAGGAAAGTGGGTGCAGGAGGGAAGAGGAGCGATTGGTGGAATGATGATGTAAAGAGAGTAGTAAGGGAGAAAAAGTTAGCATATGAGAAGTTTTTACAAAGTAGAAGTGATGCAAGGAGGGAAGAGTATATGGAGAAAAAGAGAGGAGGTTAAGAGAGTGGTGAAGCAATGTAAAAAGAGAGCAAATGAGAGAGTTGGTGAGATGTTATCAACAAATTTTGTTGAAAATAAGAAAAAGTTTTGGAGTGAGAGTTAACAAGTTAAGAAAGCCTAGAGAACAAATGGATTTGTCAGTTAAAAATAGGAGAGGAGAGTTATTAAATGGAGAGTTAGAGGTATTGGGAAGATGGAGGGAATATTTTGAGGAATTGTTAAATGTTGATGAAGATAGGGAAGCTGTGATTTCGTGTATAGGGCAAGGAGGAATAACATCTTGTAGGAGTGAGGAAGAGCCAGTTGTGAGTGTGGGGGAAGTTCGTGAGGCAGTAGGTAAAATGAAAGGGGGTAAGGCAGCCGGGATTGATGGGATAAAGATAGAAATGTTAAAAGCAGGTGGGGATATAGTTTTGGAGTGGTTGGTGCAATTATTTAATAAATGTATGGAAGAGGGTAAGGTACCTAGGGATTGGCAGAGAGCATGCATAGTTCCTTTGTATAAAGGCAAAGGGGATAAAAGAGAGTGCAAAAATTATAGGGGGATAAGTCTGTTGAGAAGTACAGTGCCTGCACTCTGAAGGAGGGGTGTTAATGTTGCAGTTTAAAAACTGTAGTGTAAAGCACCCTTCTGGCAAGACAGTGATGGAGTGAATGATGGTGAAAGTTTTTCTTTTTCGGGCCACCCTGCCTTGGTGGGAATCGGCCAGTGTGATAATAAATAAAAATAAAAAAAAATAAGTCTGTTGAGTGTACCTGGTAAAGTGTATGGTAGAGTTATAATTGAAAGAATTAAGAGTAAGACGGAGAATAGGATAGCAGATGAACAAGGAGGCTTTAGGAAAGGTAGGGGGTGTGTGTGGACCAGGTGTTTACAGTGAAACATATAAGTGAACAGTATTTAGATAAGGCTAAAGAGGTCTTTGTGGCATTTATGGATTTGGAAAAGGCGTATGACAGGGTGGATAGGGATGCAATGTGGCAGATGTTGCAAGTGTATGGTGTAGGAGGTAGGTTACTGAAAGCAGTGAAGAGTTTTTACGAGGATAGTGAGGCTCAAGTTAGAGTATGTAGGAAAGAGGGAAATTTTTTCCCAGTAAAAGTAGGCCTTAGACAAGGATGTGTGATGTCACCGTGGTTGTTTAATATATTTATAGATGGGGTTGTAAGAGAAGTAAATGTGAGGGTCTTGGCAAGAGGCGTGGAGTTAAAAGATAAAGAATCACACACAAAGTGGGAGTTGTCACAGCTGCTCTTTGCTGATGACACTGTGCTCTTGGGAGATTCTGAAGAGAAGTTGCAGAGATTGGTGGATGAATTTGGTTAGGGTGTGCAAAAGAAGAAAATTAAAGGTGAATACAGGAAAGAGTAAGGTTATGAGGATAACAAAAAGATTAGGTGATGAAAGATTGAATATCAGATTGGAGGGAGAGAGTATGGAGGAGGTGAACGTATTCAGATATTTGGGAGTGGACGTGTCAGCGGATGGGTCTATGAAAGATGAGGTGAATCATAAAATTGATGAGGGAAAAAGAGTGAGTGGTGCACTTAGGAGTCTGTGGAGACAAAGAACTTTGTCCTTGGAGGCAAAGAGGGGAATGTATGAGAGTATAGTTTTACCAACGCTCTTATATGGGTGTGAAGCGTGGGTGATGAATGTTGCAGCGAGGAGAAGGCTGGAGGCAGTGGAGATGTCATGTCTGAGGGCAATGTGTGGTGTGAATATAATGCAGAGAATTCGTAGTTTGGAAGTTAGGAGGAGGTGCGGGATTACCAAAACTGTTGTCCAGAGGGCTGAGGAAGGGTTGTTGAGGTGGTTCGGACATGTAGAGAGAATGGAGCGAAACAGAATGACTTCAAGAGTGTATCAGTCTGTAGTGGAAGGAAGGCGGGGTAGGGGTCGGCCTAGGAAAGGTTGGAGGGAGGGGGTAAAGGCATGCATGAGCGTGTTTGATAGGAGTGAATGGAGACAAATGGTTTTTAATACTTGACGTGCTGTTGGAGTGTGAGCAAAGTAACATTTATGAAGGGATTCAGGGAAACCGGCAGGCCGGACTTGAGTCCTGGAGATGGGAAGTACAGTGCCTGCACTCTGAAGGAGGGGTGTTAATGTTGCAGTTTAAAAACTGTAGTGTAAAGCACCCTTCTGGCAAGACAGTGATGGAGTGAATGATGGTGAAAGTTTTTCTTTTTCGGGCCACCCTGCCTTGGTGGGAATCGGCCAGTGTGATAATAAAAGTAATAATAAAATAATCTTTATTTCTACAGGTACATGATACAATTTTTAGCTGACATCAATGGTATACTATATAGAAAGCCTCTGGTTATGCAGAGTATTTCAGACAACTTAGGCACCTATTTGCTGCTAGGTGAACAAGGACAGCAAGTGTAAGGAACCACACCCAGTGTTTTCCACCTGTACTGGGGATTGAACCACACTCTGATTGTGTGAACCAAGTGTGCTGCCAAGCGAGCTGTGGAACACCCAGAGTTCATTTGCTTTCACTACAAAAAAAAATTATTGTGAAGTGCTAAACCCATATGAATCATTCAGAGCAAGAAGTGGTGACTTAATCCTCCTGCTAATAACCAGACACAGAATGAATCTCACAAATAGGCTATTTGCTTCCCGGGGTTTTCACACCATATTTCTCTCTCCAATCATTGTAGATAAGGACCACTCATGTTCTGCCCCATCACCACTTTTATTTTTTTTAATATATACTCTGTTCTTTATATAACTTTTAATATAATTTGTAGGAACTTCTCATATAGTAATGTTTTTTCACCATCTTGTTCACCTCATCATTCTACCAATAATTTTAAAATTGTAAATAAATATTTATTTTTTTAGGTTAATTTAGGCGATAGATTTGGAGATGTGATGCTGAGTAACTTGCATTTACGAGGCTGTGACTTGGCTGGTGCCGAGGCATGTCAGAGTACTGAGACACAAAGGAAGAGGTAGGTGTTAGGATTTGCATTACAATAATTTTTGAACTGTGCTCCCTTTTTTTATATTTAATACTGTACAGCAGGAGGGCTCAGCTTATACAGCAGGTTAGGTTCTGGACTACTGCTGTAAAGCAAAAATTGCTAAAGTGAAACATAGCCTTTTTTCAAATGCATATAAAAGCCTGATAACTTGTTTCCCTTATCATATATTAAGTGAGCAATATAGCTAAGCCTAAAAAATGCATATACAGTACACACACACTTGCCCTAAAATATTTTCATCCTTAGCTTATAATGAGTTGTGAATATATTTATTGTAGGAAGTCTAAATAAATGAAGAATCGGTATAATTGAAAACCTCAGCACAGTGGACCCTCAGGTAACAGCGGCATCGGCTAATGCCAAAATCGGATAGCGGCACATTTTTGCGTCAAAATATTGTCTTGGCTAACGCCTAAGAACTCAGTTAAGGACATTCGTCCTGAATGTGTTCACGCGGCCTGAGCCTATGTACAGCCAGTGTGCCATTGTTTACAAGCCAGAGAGGACGATTCCATGTGTACATGCGATATATTTTGTATTATTCCATTGTTTTTAGTGCTTGTGACTCCTAAATAAGCCACCATGGGCCCAAAGAAAGCTTCTAGTGCCAGCCCTGTGGTAAAGAAGGAAAGAAACATAAAAGAATTCAAGAAAAAACTCATAGCAAAGTACCAAAGTGGAGGAGGAAGAGAGAGGGGAGAATGTGCCTTCTGCAGTGATTCTACGATATGTATGATACTAAAGTGGCAGGTATCAATAAAGGCTATAGTGCCATCCAGCGATAAAGTGTAGAATTAACAGTGTAGTAAGTCAAGCGAGTGAGCGATAGAAAACGACACGAAAGTAACTCTCCAATATTGTTTATTATGTCATATTAGATGAATTGTCTAAGGGCAATGTGTGGTGTAAATATTATGCAGAAAATTCGGAGTGTGGAAATTAGGAGTAGGTGTGGAGTTAATAAAAGTACTAGTCAGAGGGCTGAAGAGGGGTCATTGAGGTGGTTTGGCCATTTAGAGAGAATGGATCAAAGTAGAATGACATGGAGAGTGTATAAATCTGTAGGGAAAGGAAGGCGGAGTAGGGGTCGTCCTTGAAAGGATTGGAGGGAGGGGGTAAAGGAGGCTTTGTGGGTGAGGGGCTTGTACTTCCAGCAAGCGTGCGTGAGCGTGTTACTTAGGAGTGAATAGAGTGTGAGCAGGGTAATATTTAATGAAGGGATTCAGGGAAACCAGTTACATCTACCATCCGACTTACGACCTGCTCGACATACGACCACTCGACTTACGACCGTGTTTTGTATGCCAAATTTCTGGGAAATAAACAACTTTGTGTTGTACACAGTGTTTATCCTAAACCTTAAAGTATAAAATACAGTACTAGCAGCATAAAAAGTAAAGTAAAATATGAAATACCAAAGTAAAACAATAAAATAGTCATTACAAAATTGCGATGTTGATATTCAGTAGTAAGGTTCGACTTGCGTCCATTTCGACTTATGACCGGTTGGTCGGAACCAAGCTCGGTCGTAAGTTGGATGGTACCTGTATTTTTTATATAGCCGGACTTGAGTCCTGGAAATGGGAAGTACAAAGCCTGCACTTTAAAGGAGGGGTTTGGGATATTGGCAGTTTGGAGGGATATGTTGTGTATATTTATACGTATATGCTTCTAAACTGTTGTATTCTGAGCACCTCTACAAAAACAGTGATTATGTGTGAGTGAGGTGAAAGTGTTGAATGATGATGAAAGTATTTTCTTTTTGGGGATTTTCTTTCTTTTTGGGTCACCCTGCTTCGGTGGGAGACGGCCGACTTGTTAAAAAAAAAGAAAAAAAAAATAAGCCGTAGAGATGATATTAGCATCATATTGAAGTATAATAAACTCGCCATCCTCTTGCCTCCTCCTTGTCTTGCATATACCAACAAGAGTCAATGAAGGTAAGTGTGATGTTAAATGTTCATTTATCAATTTTATTAGTGCTTTATATTTATTTGTCGTTGTTTTCTGTATGTATATCTATGTATATTTAATCTTTAAAAAAAAATATTTTTTGTTAATACTTTTGGGTGTCTGAAATGGATTAATTGGATTTCCATTATTTCTTATGGGGAAAATTAATTCGGCTAACGGCAAAATCGGTTAAAGGCAAGCTCTCTGGAACGGATTAATGCCATTACCCGAGGGTCCACTGTACATGTACAGTGGAACCTCTATTTGCGAGCGTGTCCACGTGCGAGTTTTTCCAAATACGAGCAGTCGATGGGTCGATTTTTTGCTTCCATACGCAAGCAAAATTTCCACAAATGAGCAGACCTCAAGGCAGGTTCCTCGACACTGATGAGGGACTCTTGCTCTTGATCTCGGGAATTGTATCTCATTTGTTTGTTGGACTATCTTATTGAAACTTGGGCAATGTATGATGGAAAGATGCTTCTTAATGTACACCAAAAATGAAATGAATGACATATTTTATTCATTCTAGAGTATATATCATGTTTCTGTTATTCATATTGTTTGTTATGTCATACTAGATGAACTGTGATAGATAAATAAGCAGTATAGATGATATTAGCGAAATTATTCATGAAGTATTTTGCCCGGTCTCCAGACAAACTCTCATCCACCGCCAACACCACCCATACCACTACATGAATGACATATTTTATTCATTTTAGAGTATATATCAGGTTTCTATGTTATTTATATTGTTTATTATGTCATATTAGATGAAGTGAGATAGATAAATAAGCCGTAGAGTTGATATTAGCGAAATTATTGAAGTACAGAATTCCACTGGAACGGATTAATTGCATTTCAATTAATTTAAATGAGGAAAATTGATTCTGCAAACGAGCAAATCCAGTTGCGAGCAAGGTCATGGAATGGATTAAACTCACAAGTAGAGGTTCCACTGTATTAGCAAAACACAGTAAAGCGAAGCTCTGTAAAACGGGGCCCATCTGTACTTAAGTCTGCCTGGAGGGAGTTCTGAGGGTCAGTGCCCCTGTCCCTGACCAGGCCTCATGGTAGATCAGGGCCTGATCAACCAGGCTGTTACTGTTAGCCACACACAATCCAATGTATGAACCAAAGCCTGGCTGGTCAAGCATTAACTTAAGGTATCTACCCAATTTCCTCAGATGGGGGTTTATTGGTAATACCCCCTTATGTATGATGGCTAAAGGGTCCCTGCCTGCAAATCAATTTAAGGCCCTACTTAGAAATCACCTCGTCACCCAAAATTAACCAGACAAACACTTTACTTACCACTTACCAGTTACTCAGAAGTAATTAAAAAAAACTAAATTTGACTGCTCAACTATTTGATCATTTACTTCAAACTTAAAATTGTTTCAATTTCATTATTGTATATTGTGCTTGATGATTCCTTTCAGCTTCATTGTTTTAAATTGTGCTAAATTGTAGTACTGTATTTTTTATATACATACTATATCAAAACTGTAATTATTCTCTAACGAACTTAGTAAAGCCATATAGCGTGAACTAGTTGAATATTCAGAAATAAACAGAAATATTAATCTCAATCTTAAAATAATGAATCCTAACTAGTCGTAAGTTGGCCTGTGATACTCCAATACTGAAACTATGTATTGTGCCAAAACAAAAGCATTCACATTGCTAAACTCACAAACTAGTATTTAGTCACTTAGCCATAATACCAACTTACCTCATAATTTGTAATATTTTAAAGTTAAGAATTAATCTAAGTCTGCCCGAAATGCCTAGCCATGCTAGGTGTTCTAGTGGCCCCCTCTGTAATTAGTATTTTACTACATGTAAACCACACAATAACCAAATTCTGTAAACTCAGCATTGTAATCCTTATAGAGAATAAACTTTGAATCTGAATTCACTGTAAATCACCTAATGACCATATGTAGAATTACTGTTATTGCCTTATTAATCTTAAGTTTGTCTTAAGCTTGCCCAATATACTCTGCATATAAAGGGGCTTTTGGCATGTTTACCAAATTGTTACACTCCTTTTGGACAAACATATATCATGCTGTTGAACAGCCTTGGGCCCCTGACACTTATTGTGTTTTTTCTCAGTGTACTCACAGCACCCTTGCTTTTCGTTGGGGTTATGTTGCACCATCTGTCTCGTCTGTTTCTTTTCATAGAGAGTGATACCTGTGTGTAGATTTGGGACTAGTCCCTCGAGAATTTTCTAGGTGTAAATGATGCATCTTTCTTGCCAGCGCTCCAGGGAGTACAGGTTGAGGGACTAAAGACGTTCTCAGTAATTGAGTTGCTTTACTGAAATTGTATGTGCAGTGAAGATCCTCTACATTCTCCAGATCTGTGATTTCACTTGCTATGGAATGTGCTATTAGTGTACAGCAGTATCTGAGCCTAGATATAACACTTGACTTAAAGAGGATCATCATTGGCTTCGCATCCCTTGTTTTCAAGGCTCTCATTATCCATCCTATCATTTTCCTTAATCGTGATAATGACACTTGTGGTCCTTGAAGGTGAGACCCTCTGACATTATCACTAAGTCCTTCACATTAGATTTTTGTTTTTCTGTGTGGTTAGGATTTGTCTAGCTTTTGATTTCTCAAGTTTTCCAGAATGGATTAGTTGGAATTTGTCCTTACTGAGCATCATATTATTTTCTGCAGGCCATTGGAAGATTTGGTTTATGTCTGCTTGAAGATTTACAGTGTCCTCAATGAATGACACTCATGCAAATTATCCTGTGTTCACTACACTTACCCCAAGTGCATTCCTGGTATTGTATTGTAGTAATTACAGAAAAGGATAATTAGTAAGCACTTAAAAATTTCCTTTTATTACTTGCAAAGTTCCAATCACAATTATCTCTGATATCCAATACTGATACTTTGCATACTCGCAACAACAATGTTTTCTGTGTAACAGTGATGGAGCACCGTATTTGTACTGAAGGTTTACATTTAAATGCTAAGGATATACTGTAGCAATTATCACACTCGTGCCTTATACTATGAATGTGAGGCATAGTCTTTAAATGTTGCAGCAAGGCAGAGGCTGGAAGCAGAGTAGATGTCATGTTTGAGAGTAATGTGTGGTGTGGATATTGTGCATGGAACTCAGAGCATAGAAATTAGAAGACAAAGTGGGGTTACCAAAGGTATAATTCAGAGCTGAGGAGGGGTTGTGGAAGTGGTTTGGGCATTTGGAGAGGCTAAAGCAGAATAAGATAGAGGATGTATAAATCTTTGGTAAAAAGTAGTAGTAGGGGTCATCCCAGGAATGGTTGGAGGAGGAAGATAAAGGAGGTTTTAAGTACTAGGAGCGTGAGTATCCAATGAGCTTGCGCAAGTGTATTAGATTGAACTAAGTGAAGACAGGTGGTTTTTATGGCTGAAACAGGGTAACATTTATGAAGGGATTCAGGAAAACTGGATAGCTGAACTGGAGTTCTGGAGGTGGGAAGTACTTTGCACTTTCAAGGTGGGACTCCTGAATTTTGGGAGGATCATTTGAATTGACATTTGCACACTTGTGGAACACCTCTATTGAATTGGGTAGTGTTTTTTTTTTTTTTAAACAAGTCAGCCATCTCCCACCAAGGCAGGGTAACCCAAAAAGAAAAAAATCCCCAAAAAGAAAATACTTTCATCATCATTCAACACTTTCACCGCACTCACACATAATCACTGTTTTTGCAGAGGTGCTCGGAATACAACAGTTTAGAAGCATATACTTATAAAGATACACAACATATCCCTCCAAACTGCCAATATCCCAAACCCCTCCTTTAAAGTGCAGGCATTGTACTTCCCATTTCCAGGACTCAAGTCTGGCTATATAAAAATAACTGGTTTCCCTGAATCCCTTCACTAAATATTACCCTGCTCACACTCCAACAGCTCGTCAGGTCCCAAATACCATTCGTCTCCATTCACTCCTATCTAACACACTTACGCACGCTTGCTGGAAGTCCAAGCCCCTCGCCCACAAAACCTGCTTTACCCCCTCCCTCCAACCTTTTCAAGGACGACCCCTACCCCGCCTTCCCTACCCTACAGATTTATACGCTCTCCATGTCATTCTACTTTGATCCATTCTCTCTAAATGACCAAACCATCTGAACAACCCCTCTTCAGCCCTCTGACTAATACATTTATTAACTCCACACCTTCTCCTAATTTCCACACTCCAAATTTTTTGCATAATATTTACACCACACATTTCCCTTAAACAGGCCATCTCCACTGCCTCCAACTGAGTCCTCGCTGCAGCATTTACAACCCAAGCTTCACACCCATATAAGTGTGTTGATACCACTATACTTTCATACATTCCCTTCTTTGCCTCTATAGATAACGTTTTTTTGTCTTCACATATACCTCAACGCACCACTCGCCTTTTTCCCTTCAATTCTATGATTAACCTCATCCTTCATAAATCCATCCACTGATATGTCAACTCCCAAATACAGTGGACCCCCGGTTTACGATATTATTTCATTCCAGAAGTATGTTCAGGTGCCAGTACTGAACGAATTTGTTCCCATAAGGAATATTGTGAATTAGATTAGTCCATTTCAGACCCCCAAACATACACGTACAAACGCAACTACATAAATACACTTACATAATTGGTCGCATTGGGAGGTGATCGTAAACCGGGGGTCCACTGTATCTGAAAACATTCACTTCTTCCATACTCCTCTTCATTTTGATATCCAATTTTTCTTTATCTAAATCATTTGATACCCTCATCACCTTCTTTTCTGTGTTCACTTTCAACTTTCTACCTTTACACACACTCCCAAACTCATCCACTAACCTTTGCAATTTTTCTTTAGAATCCCCCATAAGCACAGTATCATCAGCAAAACGTAACTGTGTCAATTCCCATTTTGTATTTGATTTCCCATAATTTAATCCCACCCCTCTCCCGAACACCCTAGCATTTACTTCTTTTACAACCCCATCTATAAATATATTAAACAACCATGTTGATATTACACATCCCTGTCTAAGACCTACTTTTACTGGAAAGTAGTCTCCCTCTCTTCTACACACCCTAACCTGAGCCTCACTATCCTCATAAAAACTCTTTACAGCATTTAGTAACTTACCACCTATTCCATATACACTTGCAACATCTGCCACATTGCTCCCCTATCCACTCTATCATATGCCTTTTCTAAATCTATAAATACAATGAAAACTTCCCTACCTTTATCTAAATACTGCTCACATATATGCTTCAATGTAAACACTTGATGTACACATCCCCTACCCACTCTAAAACCTCCTTGCTCATCCACAATCCTACATTCTGTCTTACCTCTAATTCTTTCAATGATAACCCTACCGTACACTTTTCCTGGTATACTCAGTAAACTAATTCCTCTATAATTTTTACAATCTCTTTTGTCCCCCCCTTCCCTTATATGAAGGAACTATACATGCTGTCTGCCAATCCCAGGTACCTTCCCCTCTTTCATACATTTATTAAACAAAAATACTAGCCACTCTAACACTATATTCCCCCTTCTGCTTTTAACATTTCTGTCATGATCCTGTCAGTTCCTGCTGCTTTACCCCCTTTCATTCTTCATAATGCCTCATGTACCTCCCCCACACTCACAGCCTGCTCTTCCTCTCTACTAAAAGAAGGTATACTTCCCTGGCCAGTGCATGAAATTACCTCCTCCCTTTCTTCGTCGACATTCAAGTTCCTCAAAATATTCCCGCCATCTACCCAATACCTCCATCTCCCCATCTACTAACTCCTCTACTCTGTTTTTAACTGACAAATCCATTTATTCCCTAGGCTTTCTTAACTTGTTTAACTCCAAAATTTTTTCTTATTTTCATTAAAATTTCTTGACAGTGCCTCTCCCACTGTATCATCTGCTCTTCCTTTGCACTCTCTCACCACTCTCTTCTCACTTTTCTTTTACTCTACATATACTCTACTCTTCTTATAACACTTCTGCTTTGTAAAAACCTATCATAAGCTACCTTTTTCTCTCTTATCACACCCTTTACTTCATCATTCCACCAGTCACTCCTCTTTTCTCCTGCACCCACCCTCCTATAACCATAAACTTCTGCCCCACATTCTAATACTGCACTTCTAAAACTATTCCACCTTTCTTCAACCCTCCCCCCCCCCCATTACTCATGCTTGCACTAGCCCACCTTTCTGCCAATAGTTACTTACATCTCGCCCCGAACTTACTCCTCCCTTAGTTTATACACTTTCACCTCTCTTACTTACTGTTGCCATTTTCCTCTTGTCCCATCTACCTCTTACTCTAACTGTAGCTACAACTAAATAATGATCCGATATATCAGGTACCCCTTTATAAACGTGTACATCCTGGAGCCTACCCATCAACCTTTTATCCACCAATATATAATCTAAATAAGATTGTAAATTATGGAATTGTTATTGTTTACTGCATAAATTTATTATATTCATGGAAAATATTAAACCCTTCAGGACCAGTCAGCTTATTGAATAGAGTAAAAAATGCCCCTTGTGGCTTTGCAAACATTATAGTACATATGTTTTGTATACCTCAGTTTTACTCTCATTTGTAATTTTATTAAAACAGTAATGTTGTATACACTTTTTTTCTAACAACCATATTTTCTGCCATTATGATATAATTAATTGTTAAACATGTCTTGTAGTGGAGTGTCCTTAATTCATTATTATACTTACACATAACATACCTCTTCTCATCACAAAGTTAATTACTCTGCGAGATTATTTTTATCTTTCCTGCATAGAATTCAGGCTTTTGTCATTGGTCCTGCACCTCCATATTTTTTTATTTAATTAAGGTGATCCCTATTTTGTATGCACAGCTTTTATGATGATATACCAGTAACAAACAAATGTCACAATTTTGGTAAAATATTTAAGCCTCTAATAACATTTGACATGTACACTTTTCCTCAGATTTCTTGATGCTGGGTGGGCTGGAGCAGATTCCTATGATATGCTTGGAATATGGGCTCGATTGCCACCAGAAGAAATAGCAAGAGTAACACAGATTGAGCTGTTAGATGAGCAGGAGCTCCTTAATCAGTTGTTCAGCCACTATGCTATCACTACTGCCTGGACTGATCATAGGTGGTCTGATGTACAGCTGTAGCTCTCTTGTAGTACACTACCGTGTACAGGTCATTATACCACAATTTTTTTTTTCATTCATCTCTGCCTTATCAACATCTCATTTTGTAGTGATTGGTGATGGTTTTTGGTAGCTGTTGTACTGATGCCACCAGCTTTAAAATGGTAAAATTATTTTGCATTCATTAAGTATTAAGGTTGCCACAGGAACTTTTTAATTACTGTATGAGAAGAGCAAATCTCATGGCATATAGTATTAAACTTTTGTTTATATACCAATACACAATATTTGGTAAAGTTGGTATTTATAATTTTCCTACTTGAATTATCTTTCTCAGTCTATTTTCGGCCATTAATGGATTATAAATGTTATACAACATGTTAATCGCTCATGCTTTAAATGTTATCCTAATGAGAGTTAACATATTCAGTATGTAACCACTTATAACCTCTTGGAGAACAGTGTTAGTGTGTAAAACTAGTTTCATCTCATTGCACTGGCCACAATTGAGATAAGACGTACAGTGCTAGACCTGGTATGACATGTAAGTTATTTGATGTTAATATGATAATTTAAGAATGTTTTTCATTGTTATGGCATTGAAGGAAGTTGTTTAATAATAATACTCAGTGGCATATACATGTATATATGTGTGTATGTGTGGCATCAGGAAATTTTTGATTTTTTAATAAAAGTTAAAAAAAATTGTTATATGAAATTTACCTTTATGAGATCTTTATTGATATTTCTTTTTTAAATTTAAAATTAAATTTATGTACTTTATTGCATGTAATTATAAGTGTCTATAAGCATTTTCTCACTGTAATGAGAATCTTGAAAGTGTTCTCATTTTGTGTAGGTGTGGGTTGATGGATATGTAAAATAAATATTTTTTAATTAACTATTTGGGTTTGAAGAGGGTGAGCTCTGGCTCTTGGTCCCACCTAAACATTTGACTGACTTGAAATAGCCAAGTCGTATTTATACATATTTGAATGTATATATGGAATCTGCTTCCATGTCATTTACAGCTCATTACACTTCTTAATTATTCTTTCTTTCAACACACCGACCACATCCCACCGAGGCGGGGTGGCACAAAAGGAAAAACGAAAGTTTCTCCTTTTACATTTAGTAATATATACAGGAGAAGGAGATACTAGACCCTGGCTCCCGGCATTTTAGCTGCCTCTTATGACACGCATGGCTTATGGAAGAATTCTATTCCACCCACCCATGGAGATAAGATGAAATAAACCAGAACAAGAACTAGTAAGAAAATAGACAAAAGCACAGATGGGGTGTGTGTGTATATATATGCTTGTACATGCAAGTGTAGTGTGACCTAAATGTAAGTAGAAGTAGTAAGCTGTACCTGAAATATTGCATGTTTGTGAGACAAAAAAAGACACCAGCAATCCTACCATCAAGTAAAACAATTACAGGCTTCCGTTTTACACTCACTTGACAGGACGGTAGTACCTCCCTTGGGTGGTTACTGTCTACCAACCTACTACCTACTTCGTAATTATTCTTTCTTTCTTTCAACACACCAGCCGTATCCCACCGAGGCGGGGTGGCCCAAAAGGAAAAACGAAAGTTTCTCCTTTTACATTTAGTAATATATAAAGGAGAAGAGGTTACTAGCCCCTTGCTCCCGGCATTTTAGTTGCCTCCTACAACACGCATGGCTTACGGAGGAAGAATTCTGTTCCACTTCCCCATGGAGGTAAGAGAAAATAAACAACAAGAACAAGAACTAGTAAGAAAATATTAGAAAACCCAGAGGGGTGTGTATATATATATATGCTTGTACATGTATGTGTAGTGTGACCTAAGTGAAAGTAGAAGTAGCAAGACAGAAAAATGGACACCAGCAATCCTACCATCAAGTAAAACAATTACAGGCTTCCGTTTTACTCACTTGACAGGACGGTAGTACCTCCCTTGGGTGGTTACTGTCTACCAACCTACTACCTACTTCGTAATTATTATTATCTTTAAATATTTTCTGATTCCTGTGGCTCATTTGTTGGTGAAATTTTTAACCATTCCCTCTCTTTCTTCATTCCAGTAGCTGAAGACTTATCTCATTCTTTCTTCGTAATTCATTTACCTCAGTTCAGCACCAGTCAGGATGTATTTTTTTTTTTTACTCGAGTTATTAGTGTTACATACTCAAGAATGGGCCACTATTGAAATGTGTTTTGAACAAATTTGAGTTCCTGAATGACACCCTGTGTACTGGCTTAATCTGTACTGCTGCTGTTAATCTCTTATATGTATACTTCGGGGAATAGGTTTGGGGTAATGGCTATTCTTAAGTTTGGACTCTTAATTGCATACATGAACTTTTTTGTTTAGATGTACTCTTCAGACAACTTTTTCCTTCTTCCAGGTTCATAACTGATTTTATTTAGGTTAAATTTAAGTAACTGTTTATTCAATTCCAAAATCTCCATACAGGTTTAGTGCCTTTTTGTGAATATAATTCCTGAAGTTTGTCCAAATTTTCCTTTTAAGTTTGTATTCTCATAATTTTTTTATTCATTTGCAAACAAGGATATGTAGTTCACTCAAGTTGTCAGATCATAATACACTAGGAACAATTATAGGGCCCAACTTGAATCCTTGCAAGACCTTGCTAGTCACTTTCCCATCTTGATTCTCTAGCCTTATAATAATTCTTGATTTTTCAATGGTTTCAACTCTTGTTAATGTTACCTCAACTATCTATCTGGAGTGTGTTCTAGGGTTAATGCCCCTGAGGCCTAGTGAAAGCTTTTGTATAGCAACATATTCCTAGACTATCAGAGCTTTTGATAAGCAGTCCATCCACACCTCATTTCTGTCTGATCTGTTCATTATCATAAGGTTTGTAAACCACATCCTTCCATTTCTGAGCTCATGTTGGTATTATTGGAGTATTTGAATGATTTCATCTTTGCTATTAATTTTTTTTTTAACACGTCAACTGTTTCCCACAGAGGCAGGGTGACAAATGGCCGAAGTGTTAAAAAAAATAATAATAATAATAATAGCAAAGATGAAATCACTCAAATACTCCAATACCACCAGCATGAACTCAGAAATGGAAAGATATTATTATATAATAATAATAATCAGGGGAAGTACTATACCCATAGGGATCATACAGTGCATGGGGGAAAGTTACAGTACTATTTTTTTTTTTTACTTCTGTTGAGCTCATTGCAAACTTCTGTCATTTTCTGCATGTTACCCCTTATCACTTGATGCCATAATTACATTATGGCACACTTGCTGTGAGGTAGTTTTTGTCATTTTGCCTTGACCACTATGCCATTTATAAACTGTTTTTTCAGCTTTCCTCCTCGCCCAAAGACAATTTCTGTCTTTTTGCTCTCTTCCCTGTTGTGTGGTATTAGGTTCAATCTGCACTTTTTTTTTTTTTTTTTTTGGTCAATGGTTTTTAACACTGTACACTGATGGCTGAACCATGGGTTCTTCTGGTATTTATTCCTGGCAGTATAGTACAGACTGTTGCAACCTCCACACTAAAAATTATCATAAACTGGGTGGATTGTCCTATGATTTCAGTGTTTCACTCTGATTATGACCAAAAACAATCTATATAATCACCTGCCATATACATCAATTCAACAGTTTTTATATATATACATATATGTATATATATATTTTTTTTTTTTTTTTTTTCCAACAAGTTGGCCGTCTCCCACCAGGTAGCAGAATGCCAACACCCAGTAATCACTTCCTCCCAGGAGTAATCTTTATCTCTGCATTAGTCTCATTTGTGATATAAACAAGCAGCATTAATCATTTCATCTGGCTTTTTATCATGCTACCTTAAGAAGCTCTGCATTATCAAATAAAGTAGCTTCTCTATATATGTAACTTGATTATAATAATATATAGGTAACAGTGTCTCCTTAGTTGAAACTCTTTATGGTCATTATCAGTCTTGGTTCTCTGTTGCTGTTTGGGTTTTTTGTTGGTTGATTGTAAATGGCTACTACAAGCAGCCCATCCTGACACCATGAATAAAAAAATATTGCCGATTTTTAAGTGTTGCCTGGGTTCACCACGGCACCACACTGCTTGACTTACTATGCCCATTTTATTTTGTCTGTGCACCTGTAGATTTAAACTTCATTTAACTGGCCTTATTTTAAATAGAAAATTTCTATTTATTTCAAGAATACACATTATGCATTATATTTCTGTTATTTACAATACAGTATATGACTTGAGTGCTGTGATATTGTTGAGGGGAGGGAGGAGGATTTTAAGAAAGAGTGAAGATAATTTTATTTAAGATGTCGCTGTATGACCCTTGTAGGTTTAGCACTTCATTTTTTATAATAAATGGCCGACGTATTAAAAAAATTAAGATGTTGCTTTCACTCCTGGCGCCTCTTTCTTCTGGGGTACACTTGACAGACAAGACTGCCATCGATTAGCAGATGCTGGACAGATTATTAAAAAATGAGTGCTAAACCCATGTAGGTTAGTACACTACAGTCTGGGCTATATAGTTACTTAGAAAACAAGTGGTTGTAAAATTTTCATAGTACATGTTTTTTTTTTTTTTTTTTTTTTTTGTAATTTGTGTTTAAGGCTGACAACACTATGACCCTTTGGGTTTAGCACTTAAATTGTGATATTTTTAAGAAAGCCAACTTCTCTTAACATATAGCACTGCTATGACATGGTTTAATGCTTTTTCATAGGTGAATACTGTATGATTTGCTACAATCATTCTTCATATGCTCCATTTAAATTGATAAATACTGTTCTTTTATTATAGAAAAGCCATAGTAAAATGTTAAATTTAGGCTCTTCTGTTTCAGCTTTAAAATATACGAGTACATTTAAAAAATAATTTGCTTTCATTATAATTCAACCAATTTTTTAGTCAGCTCCTCAGATATTATACAGGATATCTTCAACTTGCAAATATGTTGCATTCCTAGTGTTTTGTCTTATGAATATCTTTCATAACCATGAACCTGTTAGCTTATACATAACTATAAGAGATAATGCATCACATTTGCAACTGCAGAATGGCATTCATAAAATGATTTTCTAAATATGTATTGTCATAATATGGAACTTTGTAAGTAAGGGACCCCTGTATAAAGATTTGGTTTTATTTGCTAAAATATTACATTATTGAAAATCTGGAACATGTACAATACTGTATGAAATTTATAACTTTAGCATAAATGAAACTTCAAAAATAAATTGGTATTTTTAATTAACCTCAGTGTAAATAATGAATAAAAGTCCCCTAACAAAAAATAACAATAGCAGCTAGGTACATTCTGTAATTTGTATTTTTACAATTTACTTTTCATGGCTGTTTAAGTAAGCAAATAAACTGAAGAAAGGGCATTTTAATGTACATTATCAAAACATCAAGGACTAAGGAACTTTGTCCCTTCAAGGGAAGGGGAAGGGGGCATCCAGATGCTGAAGAGCTTGATCCAAGGAACTTGGAGTTTACCTTCTCTTCTTTAGATCAATTCTGATTAACTCTTTCACTGTCCAGACCCCAGAATTAAATGCTTAGTGTTCACATTTTAAAAAATCTGAAATGATATTCTTTTTCTGAAGGTAATGACACCAAAAATACTTAATTTGATGGGAAAACTTTGGAATTATGCAAGCCAAAAGTTAAGTGGTCTGAGCGCAATTTATGCACTGGCAATTTGCCAAACGAGTCCTATTTTAAGCCAATTAACATTATTCAATTCAACCAAATTCTTAGCTTTTTCGTTAATATGCCTTCCATTCTATCAACTTAGCACAAGAAACCACCCACTACTCAATAGAGTGCACAGAAGTTGTTAATTTGGCCAATTTTACACAATTAAAAAATTCCAATTGAAAGTAAAATAAACACTAGACATTCCAGGCATGAAAACATTTCCTCTCTCCATTAATCATGTCCCCAGGCCTTCCATTTTTAATTCATCATTACAAAATTGAAGATTTACCCCATTTCTCAGATAATAAAGTATAACCAGGAATGACTGGTCATGATTTACAGAACCCCAACATGCGAGTCAGACCTAGTAAAAACCCATAAAACAGCTCGGGAGGTGTAAGGGGGGCCTTACCCTTCCTCAGGATATCCAGCCAAATCTAATATTTCCACTAATTTGAGACTGATTTCAAGCTACTTTCAGTCCCAGAACCAACCAAAATCATCTCTATTCAGTAGTATATCTAATATATTCTATTCTATCAAATGATACCAAGAAAGAGTCAATAAAACCATCTTAAAAACACCTCCAAGTTACTATATTACACTAAACACATGGACAGAGCTGTGCTTTCTGCATCATGCATTGCAGAAGACAGAATGTGTTTATACTGTGCACTCCCCACACAGGCACAGGCCAAAATTTACTGCTCACAGCTTATCTGAATGAGCTGAGCTCATGACATGCAACGAACCCTGGAATCAATATGTAATTCAACGTGACAGACAATGAAAGGGTTAAATCCCATTTGTCAGGCACTGTATGACTCTACAAAAATAAGAAACTGTTCCTTGATGAGATAATGAACATCACAACCAAAGTGCTTGGGGTCTATGTTTTTTACCTGGTGGCTATTCTACACACCATATACATGTTCCTAAAACAATAAATGCAAATTATAGAATAATTATTGTACAATGCAAATTTTCTTTGAAGATTATTTCAACCCTATAAAAATTATCACTATTAATGATGATATTTTGATTTTTTGGCAACTTTCTCAAGGACTGTGATTACAATGAGTCATGACAGTAGAAGCCAGACATTTACCTAACCAACAACTGTAATGATGAAATTAATTTGTAGTCTTCAACTGTCATCTGATGATTGGTTTTCACATGCAAGGCCTTTTACCTAAGGCATAGCACACATCTACATTCACACAAGTGTATATGGTAGCTTTAATGTCTTGCTATGATCCCTATCTTTCAAGGTAAATGCCAGTGGAGAGCTACCCTCCTTTCCTTGGATGAGACTACTACCTCCCAATCCTCAATCACTATATGACCCTTCTATGGGCATTAATATTTCCAAATAAATGTTGTAATACCTAGAGATACATGGAGAGGGTTTCGGGGGTCAACGCCCCTGTGGCCCAGTCTGAGACCAGGCCTTGTGGTGGATCCGATACCCAATCCAAATATTTAATGTCTATCGTGTCAGAATATCTATACCAATTACTGGATGGACATACAATAATAAAACAAATGAGAGATTTGTTAAAAAAGTTCATTAAAACCGTTAATCTACATTTTTCAAATTTTACGTGCAATCTTATTTCTTTATAAATTACACAAAATTTATTTAGTAAATGTATGATTAACTTTTTGAACATTATGAAGCAATGTTATAGACAACTCCCAAGTTTAATCATTCTGAAAAATCAATGTGAAAAATTAAAACTAGAAAAAAATGTATTAGATTTAGTAGTTCCTAGGTCTGTTTGAAAACAGAAAGATCATTAGAATTTTGTATCCTAGAATGATTAAATGTTATAGAGCTCTACTCTAAACAAATATAGTCTATACTGAATGGATCAATACAATACAGTACCATATACCACATACTTGTCATCCCACAATTCATAAACCAATTCTAAATTTCATACTACTCACATATGCTTTGAAATAAACTACATTCTTACACTTGCTAAACATACTGTAAGCAGTAAGAACACACCAATCAAACTTCATATCTCACACTAACCTGATCACATACCATTCACATTACAAAATACAAGACATTTTATACATTCACACAGCCATATGCTAACCTAGGAATAGAAATAAAATTACAGATTTTATTTGGTACCTTAATATTTCTTTATTGCTTTCCTAATGAGAGCAAGCCGCTGCTTGTGAGCTTCTGTTGTGGGTGCTCTCTTGTACGGACGTAGCTCATCTGTACCAAACCCTGGTATCCACATGTGCCAATTACGTTCTGGAAAGAGCAAGAAACCAGTTTCTCTTTTTAAATTTAGTAATTTATACAGGAAAAGGGGTTAAAGAAACTAGTATGTGCATCATATAAAATATAAATTTGGAGGTTTTCTTCTTTTTATTTTTTGTAAGCTATATAGAAAACAGAGTTACTAGCCCATTGCTCCCGGCATTTTAGTTGACTTTCACAACATGCATGGCTTATGGAGAAAAGATTCTTATTCCACTTTCCCATAGATATGAAAAGAAAATAATAAGAACAAGAACTATAAAGAAAAAAAATAAAAGGAAACTCAGATGAGTGTGTATACCTAAACGTGTACATGGATGTGTAGTGTGACCTAAGTGTAAGTAAAAGTAGCAAGACATACCTGTTGTCTTGCATGTTTACAAGACAGAACAAAGACACCAGCACTCCTAACATCATGTAAAACAAATACACTCATTTTGGCTGGACAGTAGTATAGTGGATCCCTGCCGTTTGGCGGCCACAACTTTCGTGAAATCCAACTTTCGGCAAGTTTTTTCGGCAAAATTTAGCTTTGTGGCTCGTGACTGGACTCGTGATTCGGTGACCTTCTGGTACACGTCTGCCCGTCAGCGCGCACACAAAGCCAGTCTCCCGCACTATTCACACTCAGTGTGCCATTGTTTACCAGCATGTGACCATCACCCCATGGATTCATACAACACATTTCATAATAATTCATCGTTTTTTGTGCTTGCAATTGCTAAATTAGCCACCCTGGGCCCAAAGAAAGCTCCATGTGCCAGCCCTTTGGTAAAGAAGGTGAGAAACATGATAGAATTCAGAATTCAAGAAAACTCATAGCAAAGTACTAAAGTAGACGAGGAAGAGAGAGGGGAGAATGTACCTTCTGCAGTGATTCTACAATATGTATGATACTAAAGCAGCAGGTATCAATAAAGGCTATAGCTCCAGCCAGCGATAAAGTGTAGAATTAACAGTGTAGCAAGTAAGTTAAGCGAGTAAGCAATAGAAAAACAACATGAGAGTAACTCTCCAATGTTGTTGGATGTGTATAGGACTGCTGAACATACACCGCCCTGCTATCTTCCACCACCCTAAACCTCTGCCAACATCTCCTTCATCAAACCAACTAATTAAACTAACATCTCCTCCAAGGTAAGTGTAAATATAAAAGTGTAAGTATAAAAGTAAATCTAAGTGTAAATATAAAAGGACACCAATGGAAATATGTCACTCTTTAATTTTTTGTGTTATCCTGGATACTTTACACATATGCTGCTATGTATGATAATCTATGTATGTAACTGTATTTGTGTATACCTGAATAAGCTTACTTATTTCTAAATTAAAATGTAAATATTTCTTATTTCTAAATTAAAATGTAAATATTTCTTATTTATAAATTAAAATGTAAATATTTCTTATTTATAAATTAAAATGTAAATATTTCTTATTTATAAATTACATACATTGTACAAGTGTGATGGTGGTGGTGGCCAAAGCCTCCACCGCCACCATCACGGCTTCTCTCAGTGGTGGCCCTTAAACCCAACAACACGACTTACACCATTTACTCCTCACACACATTATGACATATTTTATTCATTCTAGAGTATATACATGTATCATGTTTCTATGTTATTAATATTGTTTATAATGTCATATTAGATGAATTGTGATAGATAAATAAGCCGTAGAGATGATATTAGCGTCATATAGAAGCATAATAAACTCGCCTTCCTCTTGCCTCCTACCTACCTCCTACGCCAACAAGAATCAATAAAGATTAAGTGTGATGTTAAATGTTCATTTATCCATTTTATTAGTGCTTTATATTTATTTGTCATTGTTTTCTGTATGTAAATCTATATTTAATCTTTAAAAAAAATTTTTTTTGGTTAATACTTTTGGCTGTCTGAAACGGACTAATTGGGTTTCCATTATTTCTTATGGGTAAAATAGATTTGCCAATCGTGAATTTCGCCAGTCGGCAGACTCTCTGGAACGGATTAATCATGAAACTCGGGGGTCCACTGTACCTCCCTGGGTAGTTACTGTCTACTATCCTACTACAAAAAGGTAAGGGTTTGGGATATCTGCTGTTTAGAGTGACATCTGAACTGTCAAATCTGCGTGCCTCTGAAATGACAGTGATTATATGTGAATGATGGTGAAAGTGTTTTCTTTGTTTTTTGGGTCACCCTGCCTCAGTGGGAGACAGCCAACGTGTTGAAAAAAAATTGAACTTTTTTTTTTTTAACAAGTCGGCCGTCTCCCATCGAGGCAGGGTTACCCAAAAAGAAAGAAAATCCCCAAAAAGAAGATACTTTCAACATCATTCAACACTTTCACCTCACTCACACAATCACTGTTTTGCAGAGGTGCCCAGAATACAACAGTTTAGAAGCATATACATATAAAGATACACAACATATCCCTCCAAACTGCCAATATCCCAAACCCCCTCCTGTAGAGTGCAGGCATTGTACTTCCCATTTCCAGGACTCAAGTCCGGCTATATAAAAATAACCGGTTTCCCTGAATCCCTTCACTAAATATTACCCTGCACACATTCCAACAGCTCGCCAGGTCCCAAATACCATTCGTCTCCATTCACTCCTATCAAACACGCTCACGCACACTTGCTGGAAGTCCAAGCTCCTCGCCAACAAAACCTCCTTTACTCCTTCCTTCCAACCTTTTCGAGGACTACCCCTACCCCGCCTTCCTTCCCCTACAGATTTATACACTCTCCATTATCATTCTACTTTGATCCATTCTCTCTAAATGACCAAACCAACTCAACAACCCCTCTTCAGCCCTCTGACTAATACTTTTATTAACCCCACACCTCCTAATTTCCACACTCCAAATTTTCTGCATAATATTTACACCACACATTGCCCTTAGACAGGACATCTCCACTGCCTCCAACCGCCTCCTCGCTGTAGATGGTTTCTCGACTCAAAATTCCAATTTGAACCTGAGGAACTACAGACAGGTGGATTTAGATATTTCAGTTTATGGTGAGGGCAAATCTTTCACTCCATTTGTAAAGCCATTAATGTGAAAAATTTAAATGCAGAGAACCCTTTTGGCAGACCTGGTTTCTGTAGCTTTAGAATATATTGAACAAAACACTTCCTGTAAGATATTCTTGAGAAAAAAAAAAAAAAAGGCGTAAACTTTAACACGCTGGCCATCTCCCAAGGAGGCAGGGTGACCTAAAAAAGAAAGAAACACTTTCACCATCATTCACACATAAGCACTGTCTTCGTAGAGGTGCTCAGATTCGACAGTTCAAGAGTCACTCCAAAGAACGAATATTCCAAACCCCTCCTTTAAGGTGCAGGCATTGTACTTCCCACCTCCAGGACTCAAGTCCGGCTAACCAGTTTCCCTGAATCCCTTCACAAAATATTACACTGCTCACACTCCAACAGCTCGTCAAGTCCCCAAAACCATTTGTTTCCATTCACATATATGTATTAAAAAAAAAGACATTTCTAGTACATATTTATTTTATTTATATTCAAAACAAAATGCAGAATGTTTTTACTTTATATCCCACAATTTCAACAAGCAACTGATATTTATATTTACTCTGTAATCCAACATATTCTCTTCTGTACAAAGAACAAAAACTCCACTATATGGATATCCAAAATGTTTGTGACTAGTCTATCTTTCCATTTGTCTATCTATCTATTTTGCACTACTCTGTCACTGTTCTTGACTCATTTTTATTCATTTATACTATCTATGCTAGTTATCAATTTGAAAATCATGCACGACACAAATACCAGTTTTAGCATTAAATAAAATTGCCACTTACCTAAATACATTTGAACATCCTTAACATCAAGAGCACGAGCTCCTCTGTGCTTTGCCAGACGACATGCTGCATTGACAGTTGACTCTATAAAATCATCAGCAATGGACAAAAGCATTTCTTCCACTTCTTCTTCTAGCTGTTCATTGGGATCAACTTCTCTGACCAATTCGGTAATTCTCTGTTTGTTAAGAACCTGATAAGGAATGACATGAATTATATATTATATTTATGGGGAAATCGTAAACCCTAAGGGTTATAAAACACCTGCAGAATGGGAGGTAATCAAGTTTGAGCCAGGAAAGGGAAAAGTAGCTATAATTTCTTGCACATGAATTATTTAAGCACATTATTTTAATATGAATGCTGCAGTTCCAGATAAGAAATAAACTTATTCATGGCACAAATGTTTAGTGCCCTGGTTTCCCAATTTAAGATAACCTTAAGAGGCATCTTGTGACCAATGATGTGGGATGTTGCTGGCAATCTGTGTGGAAATTCAATGATTTATCATATTGCCAATGCTTAAACTAAACACTGAACAATAAGATGAAATTTGACAAGGCTACTGTCATTTAAAATAAAAGTGAATACTGTGATTAGGTATAATTAATATGCCCTGAAAATTTAGCCAAAATATTGAAACACAAGATCAATTCCCTTCAAGAAAGATTCCTTGATGCTGGTAAGGGGCTTTTGATTCAAAGAATTGAACTTGCCTTCTCCTTATTTGGACTGAACCTGACTGCCACCCATTTCCACAGGTGCTATATAACCCCCACAAGTTACATACTCTGGCCAGCAATATAATAACAAGGTCAACTGCTTCTACGATATGTTCACTACCTTCCATTCTTGGCCTTCATAAAAGCACCATTTATTACTGTTTCCAGTCACTAACAAAATAGCCACATCCAATAATGAGCCTGTTCCTAAGAGTGATGTCAACAAGGGAAACTTGGACCTGTAATATGAGCAAGGAACTAGGTTGAATAGCAAGCCCACTCTGCTTTGATGAATAGTGTTTAATCATAATTAGTTTCAAAATGTTTTCTGCTGGTGTTGTTCTGTACAGCTATGAAGAGTTCTGCCAGTTCCCAGGTTAAGATATTTAAGGAGGAAGAAAATATTTCCTACTGAAAGTATGACTTAGAGAGGGATGCATGATGTCACCATGGTTGCTTAACATTTATAAATGTTAAGCATAATGTTAGGCATAATAGAGGCTCTCTTTGCATTGCAACCCACTATTGTAAATACAAAATCTCAATGTACTATTTGCAAAGACATAAAATAAATAAATAAATAGATTGTAAAAGTGAATGTTAACAACTTAACTAGATCTGGTACAACATAGGAGTTATCACAGTTGTTCTTTGCTGCTGATGGTTCTTACAGGAAATTCTGAAGACAAGTTGCAAAGGTTGGTAGATGAATTTGGGAGGGCATGTAAAAGAAGGAAATAAAAGTGAACAACACACCAAGGTGAAGAGTAAAAAAAAAAAAGTTTAGGCAATGATAGATTAACCCTTAGACTATTTCGGTCGTATACATACGTCTTAAGAGCCACCGTGTTTGACGTATATACATTATATACTCATAAATTCTAGCGGCTTCAAATCAAGCAGGAGAAAGCTGGTAGGCCCACATGTGAGAGAATGGGTCCTTGTGGTCAGTGTGCACCATATAAAAAATCCTGCAGCACGCAGTGCATAATGAGAAAAAAAAACTGAACATTTTTTTTTAATTAAAATGCCGACTTTGTGGTCTATTTTCGTATAGTATTTATGACTGTATTCTCGTTTTCTTGGTCTCATTTGATAGAATGGAAAACATATTATAAAAATAGAGGTGATTTTGATTGGTTTTACTGTAAAAAGAACCTGAAAATGGAGCTCAAATTAGGGAAAATGTTTGATTTTTGCTGATGTTCAGAAGTAAACAAATGATGTCATTGTCCAATAAATGTTCAACTAGCCATTCTAATATGCAGTCATGAATGAGCTGACATTATTTATACAATTATTACAATATTGCAGTAGTCTGCATAACAGTAAATCTTCTATTTTTTGTTTGAATAAAAATTCAAAATAGAAAGAAAGAGTAATATCAGAGGGGCCTGGAGATGTGACTGATGAACAAAGAAAATGTTTTTAGAGCCAGGAATGTCTGCATTGTTCCTTCTGGACCCTATTTTGAAATTGTCATATTTTTTAATTTTCGTGAAACTGGCCAAATTGCAAATTTCTGACCATGTTATTGGGTGGTTGAAATCAGTAAATGGACAGTTTCTTGTACTCAATCGATAGAAAAAATGAAGTTCTAAAGAAATAGCTATGAGTTTGGTCAACTGGAACAACGGAATTAGCCGAAAATAGGGCTCAAAGTGGGCAAAATCGCCGATTCATAAAAATGGCCGAGGTCGTTAACTTCGCGAGAGCGTTATTCCGTAAGTTTTATATCAAACTTCATACTTTTGGTGTCATTACCATCGGGAAAAGATTCTCTATCATTTCATAAGAAAAAATAATTTTTTTTTTTTTAAATTTTTGCGACACCAGGAGAGACCTCAGGATTAGGGGCTGCGACAGTCAGATTGGACAGAGGAATTATGGAGGAAATGTAGATATATAGATATTAGGAAGGGGGGATGATATCATATGGGTCAATCAAAGACAAGATGAACCATGTACAGAAGAGAAGGTAGAAGATGGGTGGTGCATATTGCTCTTGCTCTTGTGTAAGACTGGAAACTTAGAGTGCTGCCAAAATTCTAAGCATGTGGAAAGAACATAATATTTGAAGCATCAGAGATTGCATCACTGAAAGAAATGTCCTCACAGGGGCTCAATATGCTCAGGCAAACCCATTCAAACCCTTGCACAGATAACCTCCAAACTTTCTTCAGCACTCCTCCAGATGGATCATAAGAATTGGAACCAACATCTGAATAAATCAGATACATGGAAAATTACCTCATTCCAAACCCATATCCCCATTTTTGTGATGGAGTGACGTATACAGTTTGTGGTAAACCTGTAGCTAGCAGCGGTAGCAATACACACAACGAAAATCATTATTCCTCCAGTAATCTTCATCTACAGAAGCCACCGGTCCCCAAACATTCAAAAAACTTCTTAAATCACAATCAAAGTTTTGCTTTGAAGCCAGGAATGATACCTAAGCTGTAGTGATGCCTTAAGTCACACAGCGCTCTCTTTCACAATATGTATGCTGATGGCTCTGTTCACCAATCCACTGGTGCATCTGGTACTGCCGCTGTTGTCACAAAGCGATGACTCTCATACAGAAATTGGAACATGCATCAATAACCAGTCATACCAGTCAGTCTACCTGTTATCATTCTATCATACAGGAGAACCCACATGTCTATGGTGAATCCAACAAGATAAGCAGTCTTGGATGCCACTACTGCCCAGTTCTGGCTGGATTACAAGTACCTCTGGGAGGTACTTGTAGACATCACTATATGTAAACAGTTGGACAGTCGTCACATTTTGAATTGTTATGTGCAGGACTGTAGTAAGATGAATGAATTCAGAGACAACTCAGAAATGCTCAAGAAAAGCCAAAATATTTTATTCACAGTGGCACATTACCAACCATTCTAGAAAAATACAGACTTTGCCTATTGTAAATAATGCATAACCACTTAAACTTGTTTAAATTCAAGCATACTCTGCTAAAATATAAAGTAATATTTTTTACTTAATTCATGTCTGCATAAATAACTTATTATGATTGTAACCAGATATGAACATGTAAAGAGGTCATTACCACTGTAACTTGTTTAGCTATCAAAGCTTTGCAACCTAGTCCATTATTTAACTACCACCCACAAGATAAATACATACTGTGACATGTGGAAAGAAATTAGTGTATCTATGGAGGCAAAAAAAAACAGGGCCTGTACAGTACCATAGTGAAATTAAGGCACAGGTGCAACATCTGGGTATCTTAATTGTAGACGTTTCGCCATCCATTGGCTTTATCAATACAAATTCTAGGACATAACTTGAAGACAGTAGAACTATGTACAGAAGATGAGGTAATCAGTCCCTCAACCTTGGAGTAGGTGCGAAGAGCACCGTAGTCGTGGAGATTCTGAAGCAGAAGCAAGGAGCCTGGCGCTTATTACAGTAACGTCAGGTGTAGCAGACGAGGGCATAGTCACTGGTAGGCGGGATTCCCCAGTGGAAGTAGGTCCTTCCCAAAGAGATGGGTTAGTTGTAGCAGTAGTTGTCGTAGTCGTACATGTCCTCAGAATCACAACTACGACAACTGCTACTACAACTAACCCATCTCTTTGGGAAGGACCTACTTCCACTGGGGAATCCCACCTACCAGTGACTATGCCCTCGTCTGCTACACCTGACGTTACTATATAAGCGCCAGGCTCCTTGCTTCTGCTTCAGAATCTCCACGACTACTGTGCTCTTTGCACCTACTCCAAGGTTGAGGGACTGATTACCTCATCTTCTGTACATAGTTCTACTGTCTTCAAGTTATGTCCTAGAATTTGTATTGATAAAGCCACTGGATGGCGAAACGTCTACAATAAAGATACCCAGATGTTGCACCTGTGCCTTAATTTCATCTTGTCGGTATTATATACCATTCATTCATTCATTCATTCGAGGTTTGCCGGTACTTCCGGCCCGGGTCTTCTCCATATTATACCATTCTTGCACAACTTGTCAGACACTGCAACATCATGGAATCTTGATTCTGAGGACATGTACATAACCTTCACGACTACGACAACTACTACTACAACTAACCCATCTCTTTGGGAAGGACCTACTTCCACTGGGGAATCCTGCCTACCAGTGACTATGCCCTCATTTGCTACACCTGACGTTACTATATAAGCGCCAGGCTCCTTGCTTCGGCTTCAAAATCTCCACGACTACGGTGCTCTTCGCACCTACTCCAAGGTTAAGGGACTGATTACCTCATCTTCTGTACATAGTTCTACTGTCTTCAAGTTATGTCCAAGAATTTGTATTGATAAAGCCACTGGATGGCAAGATATCTACAATAAAGATACCCAGATGTTGCACCTGTGCCTTAATTTCATCTTGTCGATATTATATACCATTCTTGCACAACAGTACCATAGTATAGTGGTACCAATACTTTTATAGGAGCGAGGCTTGGGATTTGAACACTGAAGCAGGGAGGTAGTGGAGATGCCATGTTTGAGAGCAACTGGTGTTATGACTACTGTGTAAAGAATTTTGAGCACAGAAATTCAATGGTAAAGTGGGGTCACCAATGATGACTTGAGAAGAGGCTCCTAAGGTGATTTGGGCATGTACAGGAATAGGGATGATAAAGATGTATGTATATCTGGAGGTGGAAGGCAGCAGGGGTTGGGGGTTATATCAAGTACCACTGGAGGGATAGGGCAAAGGAGGCTTTGATTTTTGACCACTTGAGCATCCAGCAGGCTTGTGCAAGTGCATGAGACAGGAGTAAACAGAGGCAAGTGGACGTGCTACTGTAGTGCGAGGAAGGTAACTTTTATGAAGGGATTAAGGGAAACCAGTTAGCTGGATTCATTGCAGACAGTTCACTAAACATGAATTGAATGAAATGTTGTGTACCTCTATACAAGTTCTGTTTCCTTGAATGTTTTATTACTACTATTTGCCAGTTGCCACTATTTCACAAAACTCGGATTATTGCTTACTGGTGCTGTGGTATCAGCTGTGGCATTGGTGGATGCAGCTGGAACTGGGACTGCCTGGTTGGGGCCTGTTGTCTTAACCTGCGTGGCTGTAGCTGCTGCGACCATGTTTGGCTGAGCTACCTGACTGTTTACTGTTTGTATCTGCTGGCCTTGTACCACTTGTTGCACACCCGTCACAGTTTGTGCATTGACAACCTAACCAAAATATTATGCATTAATGATATATTTTACTTGTGTGAAAGATGTTAAAATACAATAAATAATCTTAAGAATTCAAAGAAACCAGAAATAAATATCCTAAACGAATGGAAAGAAAAAAACAAACATGAGAATGAGCTAGTAAAAATGAGCCATTAGAACCTAACTTATTAATTCATAAAAAAGCAAAACTAAATGTGAAACAAAACACTACAAAATAGTTCAAATTAGATAAATATACAAGTATGCAAGAAAAGCAGTACTGTAGTAAATAAATTTTAAATGTATTTGTTGACAAAACTTAGTGCAATAAACTAAAATTTAGCTTTCAAAATACAAATAAAAACAAATCACTTTCACCAGATGAGATGCTGCCTTGCCTATTTTATTAATGTAAACTTAGCTATTGTATCTACTAGTGACTGTATTCAGGATATTTCTCCAAGGTGCTGTAAATTTCCTGACAATTGAAACAACCAATGCAGACAGTATTGTGATTCTACTGTATATAAAATCAGTGATAGTGAAAACCCTATAATTTAAAAGAAAATAATCAGTGCATAGTGTCGTTGCTATAATACTGGATAGTTACTAGATAGAGAAAAGCCAGCATATTTTGGCTTCAGGTTGGCAAAAATATTGTACAATAAATGCAATATGCATCAGTTACAGAAGAAGAAAGAGGAAATGACTAAGTGAATATATCTTTATTATAAATATCAAGAAGTAAGTCTTTGATAAAACTTTTTTGTTGAACTGTAATACTATGGAAATTACAATATACAGTACAGTGAAACTTTGGTTTTTGTCTTTAATTCATTCCAGAGAGTCTGACGAAAACTGAATTCGACGAAAACTGAAACAATATTTCCCATGAAAAATAATGTACATTAAATTAATCCATTCCAGACACCCAAAAATATTTACAAAAAATACATTTTGTTGAGAATAACTATAGTTCTACATACAGAAAACAATGAGAAATAATTATAAAGCACTAATGAAATGGATAAATGAACATTTAAATCACTTTTACCTTTAATGAAGACTCTCGTTGGCGTATGGAAGACTGCGAAGAGGGAAATCCCCCTCCATAAGAACTTCAGGTATCAAGACCCTATCTGGGATTACTTCGCTTCTTTGTCTTTTACTGGCACTAGGACCAGCCTGAGTGTCAATGTACCCCTGTTGCACAAAAAGTCTGTCCAGAGAGGTCTGTTCTGGCATTTCTTTAAGATTTGCCTAAAATGGGACACGGCATTGTCACTGAACATGTTGCAGACATGGCTTGCAACAGCTTTGTTAGGGTGATATTTCTCCACAGAACTTTGCACCTCACTCCACTTTGCACAAATGTCCTTAATTGCTGAAGAAGGCACATTCTCCCCTCTCTCTTCCTTCTCCTCTGAAGCAATTTCCTCAGCTGCAATTTGTTGCTGTTCCAGATGAAGGTGTTGCAGTCCTTTAGTGGTTAGCTCTTCCCTGTGGTCGTCCACCAATTCTTCCACATCCTGGCCACTCACATCCAACCCCATTGACTTCCCAAAAGGCACAACAGATTCCACAACAGGCACAGGGTTGTCAGGGTCAGCCTCAAACCCTTCAAAATCCTTCTATTGGACACATTCTGGCCATAATTTTCTCCAAGCAGAGTTCATCGTCCTGGAAGTCACTTCATGCCAAACCTTATCTATGAGGCTTATGCAATTGAGGATACTGAAGTGATTCCTCCAGAACTCTCTTAGGGTCAATTCAGTGTCTGAGGTCACTTCAAACCACCTTTGAAACATTGCTTTGGTGTAGAGATTTTTGAAGTTTGAAATGACCTGCTGGTCCATGGGATGGATGAGAGGAGTGGTATTAGGGGGCAAGAACTTAACTGTGATGAAACTAAACTCCTCCAACAACTGGTCTTCCAAGTGCAGAGGATGAGCAGGAGCACTGTCCATTACCAGGAGGCACTTAAATGGCAATATATTTTCCAGGAGGTACTCCTTCACACTCGGACCAAACACTTCACTGACCCACTCAATGAAAATTTGCCTCGTGACCCATGCCTTATTGTTAGCCTTCCACATCTTTTTTCTACACCAGATGGAAATGATCATTGATGAAAACTTCCTGTACATCCTGGTGAGATCGACCACACATACGCCACTTTCATACTTTGCTACCAATTCTTTCTTGAATTCTATCGTGTTTCTCGCTTTCTATATCAAAGGGCTGGCACTCGGAACTTTCTTTGGCCCCATGGTGGCTTATTTAGCAGTCGCACTCAATAAACAAACACAAACAACAATGGATTATTACGAAATGTTTCATACGAATGCGCAGGGTAATGTTCACTCGAGAAACAAAGCCAGACTGACTCGGAACATATGCGTGGGATGCTTTGTGTGGGCGCGGGCAGGCGGACACGTTCGGTATGGTGGACAAAAACCGACGTGATGAATGAAAACTGGGACAAAATTTTGACAAAAAAAGTCATCGAAACCCGAATTCAACGAAAACCAGGGCAAATGAAAACTGAGGTTCCAGTGTACTTTGGAAGGTATGAAAGGTACTAGAAATATAAAACATTATAAAAAGTACATAATGCAGTAGGTGGACAATTTTTCCTTTATACATTACTAACAAACAAATATATTTTTGTATGTTATGAACAATTAATTTAGGCAAACATACATTTGCAAGTATCCAAAAAATGTTAAAACTTTGTCCATTTACTTAAAATGAGGTGTAGGAAATCAAACTCCCTGAATGGATCCACTGATCCAGAAACTTAGGTAGTGATTATGATTTGATCATGTTTGGTATACATATATAGTAGTGGACAAGATCAAGATCAAATCAAATCTTTTATTAAAAGTTTGTAGAAGTTAACTAAGTGAAAGACAAAATACAAAGAATTGAGCAACTGATAAAAATCACCTAATTAGAGAAAGGATTGTGAGAGAGACAATAAAAAAAAGTTCAAGAATATTTACAACACAGGACAACTTACATGCTGCAGATTTAAATGCTACACATCTAACTGGAATGGAGAACAATGAAATATCCAAACAGGACTTAAGATACTATTACTGAAAGCTTACAAGACAAAAAGGGAATTTGGAACAGATGAGATTACAGCGTGAGTCTTAAAAGAATATGCATACAAACTTAAGTTACAGATTTAGTAAAATTTAGGGATTTCACTACAAACTAAACTAAAAATTCAAATGAAAAATTACATTTATTATGCCTACAGTTACAAAATTTAATGGAGAAAATTCTTTGAATTATAGGTCAGTCTTGCCAACAATGTAAAATTGCAGGAAAAATTTATTAGAAAAATTCTAAAACAGCAACAAGTTTGGTCTTTGATCCACATATTCATGACCAATATATCAAATCTATCAAGCTACTGCCATTAACAGAAATTATTCAAGAAAGAAATGGATAAGATATTTTCAGTTTGAAGGGAAAAGTTTAACATTTATACATAGGAATATATCCTCTTGGGAAAATATCAACTTGCCAGAGGGAATTAAAAAATACATGAACATTTTTGTGGATGATACAAGCAGTAAAAATTACTTAATTCCTGTAGGAATACCTCAATAGGTTAATGTAAGTGGAGTAACAGATGGATGAGGAAACTGAATGTGAATAAATACAATGTCACAGAAATGGCAAAGTAAAAAACCAGGTTACATTATGAATAAAATTTGATAAAATATTTAAATCATCAAAGAGAAGAGGGCCTAGGAGTCATCACACACTGACTGAAGATTGTCACTGGGATATCACTAATAAAAACCAGCCATTTTCAATTATAAATTTTATATGCCAATTTCACAAGTTTACAAAAATAAAAATGCATATGCTAATCCAGCTTAACAAAGCAGTGGCTTGATAAATCATCAACGGTTCTAAAAAGTACTTTCCTGCCTTACGAATAACTGCCTTGTCTCTGGTAATGTGCAGTATATTAGGATAGCCAATCTGCCTAAGTTTTATATAGCACTATCAATTTCAGCTGGTATTCACTAAGTAATGTGTCCTTGGGGCTGTATGTATCATGCAGAAGCTATCACTCCACTACATACATTACTTTGTACTAACCTGTCCCTGAGTGAGGCCAGAAGCAAGAGTTGTAGCAACACCAAGTGGGGCTGTGGCTTGGTGTACCACCTGGCCTTGCATAGTCTGACCTGGCACCAACTGTGTTACCAACTGTTGACCACTAATGCTTGTCAGGCCAGAGGCAGTTGACATCACCACTTGACCTGAATGAACAGTATATGTTTGTAAATATATACATCTTTCTTCTTCTTTCAACATACCAGCCGTATCCCACCGAGGTGGGGTGGCCCAAAAGAAAAAAATAAAGTTTCTTCCTTTAAATTTAGTAATATATACAGGAGAAGGGGTTACTAGCCCCTTGCTCCCGGCATTTTAGTCGCCTCTTACGACACGCATGGCTTACAGAGGAAGAATTCTGTTCCACTTCCCCATGGAGATAAGAGGAAATAAACAAGAACAAGAATTAGAAAGAAAATAGAAGAAAACCCAGAGGGGTGTGTATATATATGCTTGTACATGTATGTGTAGTGTGACCTAAGTGTAAGTAGAAGTAGCAAGACTTACCTGTAATCTTGCATATTTATGAGACAGACAAAAAACACCAGCAATCCTACCATCATGTAAAACAATTACAGGCTTTCGTTTTACACTCACTTGGCAGGACGGTAGTACCTCCCTGGGTGGTTCCTGTTTACCAACCTACTACCTACAAAATATATACATATTTTTTTTTTTTTTTTTTTTTCAACAAGTCGGCCGTCTCCCACCGAGGCAGGGTGTATATATATGTATATATATATATATGTATATATATGTATTGAAATATTTTTAACATGCTGGCCAGCTCCCACAAAGGCAAAGTGACCTGAAAAGGAACCACTTTCACCATCATTTACACATTTTTTTGGTGTAAAATAAGAGGCTCAATGCTCTTTCCAGGGCTTAACCCCTGACCTCCCAAATGGAAGAGCTAAGTGTCACTGCTTGGACATGGAGGGTGGTACCAACAGAATATTAACTACACTATAAGCTCTTTCTTATAAAGCTATTCTATACAATGTAATTATTCTGCAAATGCAGCTGAAAAGGTGCATCTAAAATTGAATAGCAACTGCTATAAAGGTATTTTCACATCTATTCATTTTTGGATCCACTTTTTCAAATGTATCTGAAAAAAAAATCACTGTACTAAAAAGCTCTATAACAAACCTTGCTGCATGTTTATATAAAATAAAAATTAAAGTATTCCTTAATAGATATGAAAACTGTGAATCATATTATAACATTACTATACTGTACTGTATAACAAATGTTAAAAACTATGAAAAAATGCAAAATAAAAGTTGTACTGTATCTACCACTCTCCTTCCTTTCAGGATTAAATTCCAAATCTCCTGTCAAGAATCGAGTCTTATCATCCCTCTATATTTTACATTTTTATAAAAAGATAGTGGGTGACTGTTTATGAAAAATTTGTTTTGATATTAGCAAAACACATATGAAATAAAAATACATACAGCTCAAACTTCATTATGAGAAGACCAATATTTATCATATCACATATCTAATAATACTGTAATCAGGAAAGATCAAAATATATTTACATGTACAGTACATACATGAATATTTTGGATCCCAATAATTATGTAATTAACAGTTTAAGCATATTCAAGAGGAAACTGGATTGCTATCTCCATCACAGATCAATGGACTTCTGCACCAGCCTTTGCTGAGTGTGGACGTCTCACCCGAGTATCAGGTGAGAGCAAGACAAATTTCCCCCGCTCTCTCTTGTACACTTGTCCTCATCTACTTTGTCCACCAGGCACATTACAGGAGGGGCACTTATCATCGGCTTACTTTTAGCTAGATCCATTTTTTTGCTCTGCAGATAATTCTTTAATGGTTTTGGTGGGAAACCGGTTACTGAACTTAGGTGGGGGTGCGGGCATCTCATTCTGCAGGGGCTTGGCAAGGGGGTTCACCTGAAATAATTGGGAACTTCTAGTTCCTGTTTCTATTTACATAGGAACTCTTGTTCCTTTTCTTTCATGACCCAGCTTTGGGTAACAAATCTTCCCTATACATTGGGAAGTCGGGCTAGATACAGTATAAGTTGTCAGTGGCCCTGATAACCCAACAAATAAACAATCACAGATCAGTCAAGCTGTGATGGATACATACATTAATGGGTCGAAACAGCTACAGTCTAATTGACCAAACAATCAATTAGTAGGCTTGGCCTCAAGTTTAGCCATAAGAGTAAGGTAAGTCTTGAAACAGGTCACAGGTAAAAAAAAAAAAAAAAAAAAAAAAAAAAAAAATCATACCAAACAAAAACAAAATTTAAAAGCAAGGGTGCTACCAGATTACTTCTCTTTCCTCCCCTCAAGGAAGGTTCCTTGATGTTGGTGAGGGGCTCTTGATTTAGGGAATTGGATCTGTGCACCAGTTCCCCGAATTAAGCCTGAATGCCTTCCACATCCCCCCCCCAGGCGCTGTATAATCCTCCGGGTTTAGCGCTTCCCCTTGATTATAATAATAATAATTCTCTTTCCTCAGGCTCTGTACAAGTCATCTGGGTTTAATGCTTCCTCATAAAATATATTAAAAATTATCCTCCAAACATGGCAGGTCACCAATTATAATTACCTGCACTGTTAACAACTTGTGTGCCCGAAACGACTTGACCTTGCACTTGAACCATCTGACCTTGCATGACCTGCCCACCAACTACCTGCTGAACCTGTTGGGACATGATGCACCTCGGCAGATGTTCCACTTCACAAGTTTACTGCCAAAAAACATATCAATAATTATATATATCAGAAAAATATTTTTAAAGACAAATTTTTTTCACACTAATAAAACTGTAGTCTCATCTAAATTTATAATAGAGTATAAAAAAAATGCTTAGCCAGAGAAGATGCTTTTTTAAGGTACTAACAACCCATCTTAAAATAAGCAAAACTGCAGATGAGAACACAGAGAACTTTGCCTACTTGTATAAATTCATTCAAATACCTAAATTATTTAGAACCAGAAATCTCTTAAATCTGTACATCTTGGAATGCAGATGAAAAAAAAATACATCATAATTTACACCTGGAAAATTCTAGAGAGACTGGTTCCTGAGCTGTATAATGAAAGTGCTCTTTACTAGAGCAAGAGCTCAGTGCAAAATACTCCAGTAAAAAGCAGGAGTGCAACAAGTATGCTATGAAAAAACAATAACTTTAAAAGTTTAAAACTTTCCAACTGTTTCCCCCACTCCTTGAAAATATATAGGAAATTACCAACAGACCCCCAGCTGTTCAGTTCTGCTCTTAACATTATAAAATAAATAGACATAAAATGTTCTGTGAAATATGTAGATAAGGATGAAGTTGATTCCATGTATCAGAAACCTTAGAAAAAGTACGTGTCTTATACAGATAGTGTAGGTAAACATATACTACAATGTTCCTGCAAGATTCTCCACAACCATCTTAATTTAACGGGAAAATTTTTTTTTCCATCCAGTGATTCTGAAATGTCACACAACCCCAATTGAAACATAATAAAAAATATATGTAAAAAACAAAGTCTCACAATAAATATAAAATTGAATAGAGAACAATGTCATAAAAAATGATTGATATAGTGCTTGTAACATCAAATACAAGGCTAAATCACCACAATCTCAGAAGCGACCTGCTCTCAGCTGCTCCAGTTTGTAAATAATGTCGCTGGGTAATACACTTTTAGAAAATAGTGGTTGCTTTTTAGTCGTAATATTTAAATAATTTTTAATTGATAACCCCTCTAAATAATATAATTTATACATTTTATAGGCATGAACCTCGTGAACATTTAATACGGCAAATGGAAATAAATAACTGACTTTTCGGGTCTATCCCCAAGTAATTTACAAATAATAATAATAATAATAATAATAATAATAATAATAATAATAATAATAATAATAATAATAATAATAATAATATCTTTATTTACTACAAGTACGTGTACAAGGTATGTAGTCCTAGTTGACATCACTGACTTACTACTATATAGAAAGCCGCTTGTTATGCAGAGCATTTCGGACAAATTAGGTCAGTTTTTGTCCCAGGATGCGACCCACACCAGTCGACTAACACCCAGGTACCCATTTTACTGATGGGTGAACATAGACAACCGGTGTAAGGAAACACGCCCATTGTGTCCACTCCTTCGCCGGGAATCGAACCCGGACCCTCACCGTGTGAAGTGAGTTTTTGCCACCAGGCCACGGGGCACCTTATATGTTGCTATGTATGATCATTGTACTTATGTGGATCTGTACCTAAATACAATTTACTTGCTTTTTAATCATCCAAAAAATGTGTAAGATTGTTCCTACATATAGTCTGTTATGACATGTGCAACACTTGGCTATCTTTATTTTGAAGAAGTTTCGTAAACTAGCGACTTTTTCAACAAAATACCCTTAAATTAAGTAATGACACTTAGCTGGCATAACCACACCATAAAATGATTCACGAAATCGTAATGACACGATTGCAAACAAACCATACCGCGGGCAAATTAATGCATTCAGAGACAACTCACTCAGAAATGTTCAAGATATGTCAAAGTATCTTACCGACAGTAGTATATTACAGACTATTCTGGAAAAATACCCTGACTTTGTCCCTATAAATAAAGCATTACCACGTGTGTGTGTGTGTGTGTGTGTGTGTGTGTACTCACCTAGTTGAGGTTGCAGGGGTCGATTCCAAGCTCCTGGCCCCGCCTCTTCACTGGTCCCTACTAGAAAAGTTGTGTGTGCGTGCGTGCGTGCGTGCGCGCGTGCGTGCGTGCGCGCTCACCTAATTGCTGGAGTTTACCTGGAGAGAGTTCCGGGAGTCAACGCCCCCGCGGCCCGGTCTGTGACCAGGCCTCCTGGTGGATCAGAGCCTGATCAACCAGGCTGTTACTGCTGGCTGCACGCAAACCAACGTACGAGCCACAGCCCGGCTGATCCGGAACTGACTTTAGGTGCTTGTCCAGTGCCAGCTTGAAGACTGCCAGGGGTCTGTTGGTAATCCCCCTTATGTGTGCTGGGAGGCAGTTGAACAGTCTCGGGCCCCTGACACTTATTGTATGGTCTCTTAACGTGCTAGTGACACCCCTGCTTTTCATTGGGGGATGGTGCATCGTCTGCCAAGTCTTTTGCTTTCGTAGTGAGTGATTTTCGTGTGCAAGTTCGGTACTAGTCCCTCTAGGATTTTCCAGCTGTATATAATCATGTATCTCTCCCTCCTGCGTTCCAGGGAATACAGGTTTAGGAACCTCAAGCGCTCCCAATAATTGAGGTGTTTTATCTCCGTTATGCGCGCCGTGAAAGTTCTCTGTACATTTTCTAGTTCGGCAATTTCACCTGCCTTGAAAGGTGCTGTTAGTGTGCAGCAATATTCCAGCCTAGATAGAACAAGTGACCCTAATTGTGGTTGCAGGGGTCGAGACTCAGCTCCTGGCCCCGCCTCTTCACTGAACGCTACTAGGTCCTCTCTCTCCCTGCTCCATGAGCTATATTATACCTCGTCTTAAAGCTATGCATGGTTCCTGCCTCCACTACATCACTCGCCAGACTGTTCCACTTCCTGACCACTCTAAGACCGAGAAATGCTTCCTAACATCCCTGTGACTCATCTGTCTTCAGCTTTCAAAAGTGACCCCCTGTTTCTGTGTCCTCTCTCTAGAACATCTTGTCTCTGTCCACCTTGTCTATTCCAGGCAGTATTTTGTATGTCGTTATCATGCCTCCCCTAACCCTTCTGTCCTCCAGTGTCGTCAGGCCGATTTCCCTTAGCCTTTCTTCGTAGGACATTTCCCTTAGCTCTGGAACTAACCTTGTTGCAAACCTTTACACTTTCTCTAATTTCTTAACGTGCTTGACCCGGTGCGGGTTCCAGACTGGTGATGCATACTCCAGACTGGTGTTGCATACGGTGTACAGTGTCTTGAAAGATTCCTCACTTAGGTATCGGAATGCTAATCTCAGGTTTGCCAGGCGCCCATATGCTGCAGCAGTTATCTGGTTGATAAGTGCTTCCGGAGACGTGCTCGGTGTTATACTCACGCCAAGATCTTTCTCCTTGAGCGAAGTTTGCAGTCGTTGGCCACCTAGCCTATACTCTGTCTGCGGTCTTCTTTGCCCTGCTCCGATCTTCATGACTTTGCATCTGGCAGGGTTGAATTCGAGAAGCCAGTTGCTGGATCAAGTGTCCAGCCTGTCCAGGTCTCTTTGAAGTCCTGCCTGATCCTCATCTGATTTAATTCTCCTCATTAACTTCACATCATCTGCGAACAGGGACACCTCTGAGTCTATCCCTTCCATCACGTCATTCACAAATACCAAAAATAGCACTGGTCTTAGGACAGACCCCTGTGGGACCCCGCTCGTCACAGGTGCCCACTGTGATACCTCATCACGTACCATGACTCGCTGTTGCCTCCCTGTCAGGTATTCTCTGATTCACTGAAGTGCCCTTCCTGTTATATGCGCCTGATCCTCTAGTTTCTGCACTAGTCTCTTGTGAGGAACTGTGTCAAAGGCCTTCTTGCAGTCCAAGAAGATGCAATCAACCCATCCCTCTCTCTCGTGTCTTCTCTTACTTTATCATATAACTCCAGAAGATTTGTGACATAGGATTTGCCTTTCATGAAACCGTGCTGGTTGTCATTTATACTTTTGTTCTGTTCCAGGTGTTCCACCACTCTCCTCCTGATAATCTCCATGACTTTGCATACTTTACACGTCAGTGACACTGGTCTGTAGTATAGTGCCTCTTTTCTGTCTCTTTTCTTTAAAAATGGGAACTACATTTGCCGTCTTCTGTGCCTAAGGTAGTTGCCCAGTTTCAAGGGATGTGTTGGAGATTGTGATTAATGGCACACACCCCCTCTGTCCTGTCTCCCCAGAGTCCTTCCTGTCTCCACTGTGAATACTTCCTTAAATCTCTTGTTGAACTCCTCACATACCTCTTGATGGTTTCTTGTGAGTTTCCCACCTTCTTTCCTCAGCCTGATCACCTGGTCTTTGACTGTTGTCTTTCTCCTAATGTGGCTATACAGCAGTTTCGGGTCAGACTTGACTTTCGATGCTATGTCATTTTCATACTGTCGCTGGGCCTCCCTCCTCATCTGTGCATATTCGTGTCTGGCTCTTCGACTGATCTCCTTATTTTCCTGGGCCCTTTGCCTTCTGTGCCTTTTCCTTTCTCTAATGCACTTAGTTTTTGCCTCTCTACACCTTCGGGTAAACCAAGGACTCGCTTTGGTCTTCCCATTAATTCTGTTGCCCTTGGAAACAAACCTTTCCTCTGCCTCCTTGCATTTTGTTGTTACATATTCCATCATTTCATTTACTGATTTTCCTACCAGTTCTCTGTCCCACTGAACCTCCTGCAGGAAGTTCCTCATACCTGTGTAGTCCCCCTTTTTATAGTTTGGCCTTTCCCAATCGATCCCTGTTACCCTCTCCACTTGTAACTCTACTATGTAATCAAAACTCTGAACCACGTAATCGCTTGCTCCAAGGGGCCTCTCATATGTGATGTCCTCAATGTCTGAACTGCTCAGGGTGAACACAAGATCCAGTCTTGCTGGTTCATCCTCCCCTCTCTCTCTGGTATTGTCCCTGATGTGTTGATGCATGAGGTTTTCCAGTACCACATCCATCATCTTGGCTCTCCGAGTGTCAGGACCCCCGTGAGGCTCCAGGTTTTCCCAGTCAATCTCCCTATGGTTGAAATCACCCATAACCAGTAACTTTGCTCTGCACGATTGAGCTCTTCTTGCCACCTCAGCCAGTGTGTCCACCATCGCTCTGTTGTTCTCTTCATATTCCTCTCTTGGCCTCCTGCAGTTCTGTGGTGGGTTATACATCACTGCAATGACTACCTTATGTTCCCCAGACTCAATTGTACCTACTATGTAGTCCCTTTCTCCAATCTTGTCGATGCCTCCCATTTCCTCAAAACCCCATCGGTTTTTTATGAGCAGTGCAACCCCTCCTCCCCCTCTGCTCCTTCTGTCTTTCCTCAGGATCTGATATCTCAGTGGGAAGACTGTGTCTGTTATTGTCTCAGTGAGTTTCGTTTCTGTGACTGCTATGATGTCTGGGGGCTTCTCATTGATTCTTTCATGCCAGTCCTCATATTTATTTATTCCATCTGCGTTCGTGTACTACACCTTCGGCTTATCTATCACGGTGGTCCTGGGAGAATATTGGGGTTGGGGGAGTGGGAGCCCTGGAGGGAGCCTATGGGGTTTGCGGTGTGGGTGGGGTTTGTGATGGGGGGTGAGGGCAGAGCGCCCATGGGGAGCTGCTGTAGGGGTGGGGTTTGTGATGTGGGGGGTGGGGGCAGAGGGAACAGTGTGGGTTTTGGCTTAGATTGTTCAGTTGCATTGGGGTTGTCGCAGTGTGGATGGGGTTTGTGATGGGGTTGGGGCAGTGCCCATTGGGGGCTTCTGTAGGGGTGGGGGCAGAGGGAACAGTGTGTGGGTTTTGGTTTAGATTGTTCAGTTGCTTTGGGGTTGTCGTGGTTGGAGTCCATCTGCGGGTGTTTCTGTAAGGTGTGTTTGCCCTTCCACCTGAGTCTGGGCTCTGCTCACCTTCGTCAATGCATCTCATTCCTCCTTTCGTCTTTGCACCCTCTCAGTATCATCCTTTCTTCTTGTGTTCTGTCACGATCGAGGTACATTCTCCGGTACTCTGGATTGTTCCTCAG